TAATTGTGATGATTCGATACTACATGTATTTTGTCCATCTTAATAGGTGTAAGAACTGTTTGCTTCTACAATGCGCGTGTAATATTTCTTTAGTAAATATAACTAGATTAAAGAAATTCATAATTAATAGAAACAAAGCTTATGTTACTTTACGTTTTAAACAATTCTATAAAACGAGAAATGGTTTTTCATAGAAAAAAATCCTATAATATTTTTTCAGAATTTATCTTGTGATATACTGACATAACAAAATTTGTAAAATACTTATTTATAAATTATCTATTTTTTAAAAGTGAAATAGGATTTAAATTTACTGTTAACTTTAGAACTATCACAAAATACATAATAAACAAAACTTCATTACAAAATTCAAGGAACAAAATAAAAACATAATTGTTTATTGTATTTTAATTGTAATGTATGTATTGAGTATGATGAATTTGTTTAGAATTTTTGTTATTTTCTGAATCATTATTTTTCACTATTCAAAATGTTTTATTATATGTTGTGCCCAGTTATATATTTCACTGTAATGAAATAGTTTCTCATCTATAATAATGGAACTGAAGCAGTTTGTTATTAAAAAAACACATTTGTACAGCATTTATTCCAATTATGACTAGCCTGAGTAAGTTATTTATAATTTGTATGTAAATATATTTATATTTTTCAGAAAGTAATCTTACCATTTACTGGTGATGATAATCACAATGTAATTTTGCAGTTCTTCGAAATCGAATGAAATATCTAAATAAATTAGCAAATAGATCGTGTGAAAAGAAAAATAGCTATATTTTAATTACGTGCGTAAAGGAGCATGTTTTAAATAATAATTATTTCAATTTTTGTGACCCTAATGTAAGAAAAAAAAGTAATTGAAAATTGTGATACTAATGATGCTATGTTTATTATTTTTACGTAATGATAACTTATTAAAATCTTATCATGATTTTGACACTGAAATAATACAATTTGAGTAAAGTAACATTATAAAGTTGCATTAAAATAATAAGTTGGTTCTATGTTAATTAACTTCACCTTGTATATTTATTGTCAAGTTTCATAAATGCAGTGCAGACCAACAGGCTTAGATCCATTACAAAAATATTTTAGTACTCTAGTTCAGCTCAAATTAAAATTAAATATAAGTTTTATCTACTACACAACTGCTTTAATCTATGAAAATTGTACTATCGCGATATCATTAAATACATCAGTGTAACGGTATTTTATATTATATGAGAAAACTATATATATATTATTATGATTTGAAAATGTATTTCAAGATTGTTTCTTATTCTGAATTAAAGTTTGTTACAATTTTTATATATCTCCAATAATTAATATGTTGTTGATTTCACCGAAGTATGAAAGCTGAACAAGCACCGCATGACACTTCCGTTGCAAAAAAATTGTTTCCAAAGTTGTATGTTATTCCATTGTATTCACAAGAATAGCAGTACTATTAAATTGAAAATATTGCAGAAATTTATAGTTGTAAAGAAACCTTTATTAAATAACATAAAACTATGGGAACAAATTAAGAATCAGTCGCATTCCATCTCTTTCTGTTTATCAGTCACAAAATCCACTTTCAATCATGAAACATTTTAATGAATATTGGTAAAATATGCAGAGCTTCTAACAATATTACTATTACTAATTAATATAGATACAGATACCCCTATTAAAATTATCAATACGTATAATATTTACAGTTTTCAACGCGTCAGTCGTATCTGAAAAACACTAACACACTCATGAGATTTGATCACCTTTTGATTCAAGATAAATATGCAGATAATAAAAGTACTTGATTATTATAGCTGAAATATGATTAAATTAAAAATTGACCTCGTATTTATTAAGGCCTCATATTAATTCTTTCGATCTAAATTTATTTAATTTCTATTTTATGATATATCTAAAAAAATATAACTATTACATTTGTTTAATAAATTTTACATCTTTATTTCCAAATTTCATTGCATTTATTATATGTTCTCTTTATTTTAAAAGGTTATTTTAACTTTTTATTGTAATCTTTTAATGTTTGATTAAAAATAATTAGGGTAATATATAGTTATAAACATACTGAAACAATTTTAAAAATACTTACATTGAATATTCAGCCTCAGTCAAAATATTACTTAAAAGAACATTTTCTGTATTATTTTGCAAATAAACTATGCTTTTATGATACGATGATGTCATTCTGATAAATAAAAGCATTCTAATAATTTAAAAATACTACAAAGACATATTATAAAATGTTTTAAGTAAACAGGTAGTAAGAAATTTATTATAGCTGCTAAATTACGTGTTCGGTATATTCAAGTGATAGACTTTTAATATAAAACTTAATTTAAGTAGGCCATAAAAGTCGAATCATTTCATATGTGCAGATAATGAAAATACCTTTCATTACCAATGTTTTTTCAATAGGCATACATTTCAATACACGTTTTTAGTTCTTTAGTTATAATAATTAACTTTTTACTGTATTGTTCAATTCCATTAAAGTATTACTTTTACTAGAGAACGTAAAAAATGCACCATAACTAAAACGTTGTGAAGTACTCTTTACAGGTATATACCCATCATTATTTTCTTCATGAATACATCATGATAATAGTGATATTAAAATTTAACTTTGTTAGTTTATGTTCCGAATAATTCTCGCATTGCGTTTATAACATTAGTAATAATCTCATATGTTTTCCGTTGTTTGAAATTTAATAGATTGTATACATTATGAATTCTTTTAATTATTTCAACACTGCATTTTCGTCACTTGCAGTAGAAGTTATTTATGAGTCAGCTTAATAGTCAGTAATCAAACAGAATGTTCTTACAATGAAAAACAAATGTACAATAGTAGAAATTCACGCAATGAATTTGAGAAGCATTATCTTCGAGTTTCTTTTCCTATGACATGATGTTTGATATCTTTTCTTTCAATAATGTTCTGTCCCGTAATCTCTCACCTCTCATGCAACATAATTGTCACGAAACAATTCTTACTGTCAGTATACTATATCTTAAACATCTATGTAAAAAAATACGCCAGTGTTTCCTGGCTCTTGCAGCATCTCCCTAGGAAGCAGGCGTAGGATTAGCAGTTGGTGTTACAGCATTCGACTGTTTTGCCCTTCTACGTTTATTTAATAATGCATTGTTTGTGTGATCCAATTGTTTCAAATTAGCTGTGTCGTAGTCCACGCGCATTGTTGCTAAAGACCGCGTCATCTCTTCTTGCACCTCTGGCCAAAGTTCTTCGCCTTCCCTCAGTACTCGACCAGTATGTAAAGGAGTAGGTGGTACCTCCGTATGTTTCTGTAGAAAAATCATAATGATGTTAAACACTTCTTATTCATCTATCTCAATACTTATAGGGATTTAGCTTTTATGATCAATTATTTATGAAAAAAAATAAAGTTCTTACAGAGATCCACTTATTTCGCATAACTTCGTCAATTTGCAGTCTTCTCGCTGGATCTGTGCATAACATTCCCTTAATAAGATCTTGTGCCTCAGCGCTTACATGTGACCATTCAGGAGCTGGAAAATCATATTGACCTAACCGAATTCTCTTCTTCATTCCTGGTGAAATTGCTAAACCATGATTACTATAAAAAGGTGGAAAACCACATAACCTGGAATAATCGACAATTCTCGTTTATTATATATCATCTGATTCAAAGTTATATCTAATAATTAACGTATTTACTTACAATATATACATAATAACTCCAAGTGACCAAATATCACAGCTTTTGTCATACTTTTCTGGTCCCAGAACTTCAGGAGCTTAAAAAAAATCATATTTAACAATTTACTATTAATAACATTCATAATTAATACAAAATGTGTTAATACAAAGCCAAGAAAGTAAAATATGTTACAACTTACCTACATAATATGGTGTGTAACATGGTGTTTGTAAAGTGTCTTTTAAATGTGTTTCCTTTGCAAAACCAAAATCTGTAAGCTTCAATATTCCATTATTATCTGAAAAATACAGTACATCTTGTCAAATTAAGTTATAACAATAGAAACTCTGTTATTAAACATTTTTACAAAAAGAAGATAAAGAACATACCAGGCCTAGAATAAAGAAGGTTTTCAGGTTTGAGATCCCTATGTGCAATGTTCATATCATGCAGGTGCTTTACAGCAACACAAATTTCATACATTATTTGTGCAGCTTCTGTAGGTAAATTACAAGAAATAACTTCAAAAGGTTTACAATTATTAAAAAATTGTACAGAAATTAATTTTTTTACCTCTTTCTGTGAAAGCACCATCTTGTCTGTCTTGTATTCTCTCAAACAATTCTCCTCCTTCCATACTAAACATTTATTAAACATATATTTCATTCTCCTTTTGCCATTAATAATGTTTATTAATGTAGGTATTATAGTAATATCTTTATATTAAAGTATGCAAAATCTTACCATTCCATAACAACTAATAAACATTTATTGCCACTGTATGTGTTTTCATATACATCTTTGACTTGTACTATGTGTCTACAATTTGATGCTCTCCAATGTAATTCAACTTCTCTTCTTGCCTTTACACAATCGTATAACACCTGTAAACATAAATTTATTTAATGAAATATTCATCCTTACATATCAGATGTAATGTTTTTAATGTCATATTTAAAAAAGCATATCTTTATGAAATTTAACACAAAGTTATAAACAAATAGAAAATTTTTATATTCATGCTATTTTCAACATAAGAAAATGCCAAGAAAATAAATTCTAATTTTGTGAGATATTGTATAAACATGTGAAATCGTCTTATTGTAAAGTAAATTAAATTATATATGAAATTATATAAGTAACACAGTCGAATCATCGTTTCTGTTTTTACGAAAATGTGAATCCTTGAACAAATGAAGTTGTGTAGAATAAACACGAGAAGTGATAACTGTATGACTTGTGCATAATATTGCATAATTTATAGTTTCGACGCAAGAAGGGATATATAAAAATGGTATCAGTCTTCAAAAAAAGAAATTGTACCCGTGTAAGTAAACTTCTGCAACCATTTTTAAAAATACTGGTGAATGACACAAAAACAGCTGACGCATTGATACCGTTAAATCGATGAAGCCTTATAATGCCTCGCTACTTAATATTCTTGGTTAAGATAATGGGACATTCGATCAATAAATGTAGTGCATTCACGGTATTACATTTATCGTTTGTACAGTGGCAACGGTTTGATCAGGTTTGAATAAAAACGAGAACAAAATGATTTATAAAAACTTAACACTACATTATATAATTGTAATACGACATTTCCAACGAGTATATATCTTGTATTTGGAATTATAATTACAATTAGTTACAAAAGTATTCGATTAACTGGGTTTAAAATATACATATTATTGATTCAAGTAATATTTCAGACTTATAAGTTTGCACGCAATTTGGTCGACATTCAGAGGTCAGACGGCTACATTTGTACCCAGACGAAAAATGCATTTAGCAACATTGGGCACAGTTTTTACAATTTATGACATACAGTAAGGTATGTATTACTACATACTTTGCATTAAATTTAATGAATTGGCTGGGCTACAAAAGCATTATCTAATATTTCAAAACTATTATTGGCACCAACTAAATCTCTTCGTTTAGTTTTCCAGATTGGGAACATTGTTATAATTTATTATTCTATTTCAAAATACTATACTGCAATCCATTTTATATAATAATTCATATTATTTTTCAATTAATAGCCATGTATTTGAATTGAATTTTTTCAATTATAAAAAATGAAATAAAAATAGCAGTATAACGAATACAATTTTTATATTACTGTATCTACCTACATGTAAAAACCCTAAAACTGATGATACGGTACTGTCAAGGCGGAACGAAAAAAGTGCCTCGCAGTTAAGTGATATATTTTTAAAGCACCGGGAATTTTAAGAGTTCTAAAAATATTCAAACACAATTAAAGCTCGGGAAGCAGCTTGGAATGAAAGTAGAAACTGGTTCCGTTCCGAAGTTATTTTTTTAAACACTTGTGACAGTCAAAGCGGAATAGATAATTGTCAAATATAGTAGAATTAAGATGAAAGTAATACCACATACGTAAATAACGTTTCTCATTGCAGCATAAAGTTTAATGTTCAACCAGTTGAAATGGGGAACTTATTATTGTATATACATGAATAATTGATTAAAAATTACATAATTAACGAATGAACGCACGGTCTCATTTTGTGAACAAAGTCCACAGAAATCATTCAGCATAGCACGTTTTAATGATCCAGTAAATCTTGTTCATCAGTAAGCTTCGATACATACAATTTCTAACAATTGTCTGTTGCCTTCGTCCTCAAATGAAAATATATTAGTCACGCGCCGTGAGCGCTCGACGTCTCGTATTATTCCGTAATAATGAGATTAACGTTTCGCCGAGTGACATATACCCATTACCAGAATTAGCAGACAAATGTGGACGAGAAATTACGCTTGATACGCTCTGCAACTAAATTACATTTCTCATCCTACGCGAACGTATTTTATAGGAGAATGAAACGTGCGTCACAACTGATCCGAATGTGACGTAAATCCCTGTGGAAATGTATATTAAATCATCCTGTGTTTCCTTTTCACGCCGTAACTGCGGATATGTTTACCACCTCGCCAGGTTTCACTGGAAAATTCCAGTTGGTTTTTCTATTTTCAGTAGAACTGTCGCATCTCGGATTCTTTGAAAGCTGCATAGTTTACTATACTAAACATCACCATCTAACAAGCGATATTTTAATTGGCAGAAATCACCAGTGAGACGATGGACTGCATGGACACCGTGTCCCTATCGGTTACCTCTCACGTAACTTATAACTTTCCTTTCAACCCTTAATCGGCGAAACAATTACGACTTAACGTAACTTTTTTCTACCTAAGTAGTAGAATTTTTTTCTCTTTGATAAAAAATTCGAATTATTTTCATACGTATCAAGAGCATCAATATCTGTGTATTGCGATTAATTTCAAATATTTTACAAAAATTGTGCGATTTTTCGTCTGATTGTGAAAACCTGTTAGTGAAATTACAGAATCACGGTAAACAGATCAGGTTCTTGAAAGAATCTGAAATAATTCCGAGAACCTGGCAGCCAAGAAAAACAGAGAAATGGAAAACAATGCAAGGCGACATAACAGCAGTCTGGTTGCCTGTTGGTAATCAGTTATGAATTCATAAAGGGAGAACTAGGTTGCACCGGTAGATCATGACGTCTGCAGGTATTGACTTTTTTTCATGACTATGTTAGGCGCACGGAAATATGATTCGATGACTTTCTCTTGGACTATGCTCGCGGCTATTCTGTTTGAATCAGAGAGGCCCGTGAACTATTTTTCTTGACAGTTTGACCATTGTCGCGACACAATGATTCAGAAACATGCTGAACCTGAACGAATCTAATCGATGCAGACTAAACTCATCGACCTAATTCTCCTTGAATCGTGTAAAAATATCACCGGATCGGCGCGACATTGCCTTGGAAGGTCAGAACGAAAAGTTTCCAATTATCTCTGTACAACAGATTTATTGTCCTTGCCGTCAGATCTCCTCACGGTCGAATGAGAGAATTCAAATCGTTTCGCCAACCTACGTGGGCTTTATTCCAATAATTCGATCTGTTCGATGGAATGGATCACCGTAAAAAGTTCAGCTTCTACGAAGTTATGTTACTGACTACCGATTCTACAGTCTGTAACAAATCGAAATTATATTTCAGTCCTATAACGGTCTCACTGAACGAGTCAGCCTATTAACTTTTTACTACACGTACGACTACGAGATTTCACTACGCATTCTTATTTTACCTGTTATCTAACCCAGATAAAAGGCTCTAGTGATTAATTATTACGTCATGAAAAGATTATTCAACGTGTTAATAGTATTGCTCGTAATTACGAAACAGAAGCAATGAATTAAACTGCTTGTGACTTGGATGTACGCAGTTGAGCGAATCAATAGTATTTCGATATCTGTGACTGATATAATCATATCAGGGTAATTTATACCTTTATGTCTATGTTTGAGTAACGCTTTAATATTACATGAAAAAAGGCGATAACGGTCAAGATAGTTTCAATATTAATTATTTTAACAGGTAACCCCCGATTTATTGAGGAAGATATTAGCTTATAACTGTTTATTACTAGATAGATTAGTATAGTCAAATCCATCAACCGTTTCCGCGCGAGCAAATATGAGATCATTACTATATAAATAATGAGATATTTTCGTTGAAGTTTATCAGTCATTCTTATCCATTCAGTCAGATACATCTAAGCGTTCCCCCACTTTCATGTACATATTTACTTTTTCAAAGGTTAAACAAAATGTTATTGAATTTATGAGTTAAATGGGTTTCGAAGATTATACGTTGAAACTGCAATTGATCACGTCGGTTAAAAATGTTACACTGGCAAAATCTACTCGTGCAGACGGTGACACATCGTAAAATATAATTTTATGTATACAACCGCATGCTGAATTACATAATAGTATCTTTCTCTTTACACACGACGTCAATACTTATATTTTATATATGTATTTATGTATCTTGTAATATCAAGAGTTACGGAAACAAACCGAACTTCCGGTCATATGTATCATGCCAATCATAACGACGTGGGCAGAGTTAAATTTTGTTATATAATATATAGAACTTAAATATATTACAAAAATTTATAAGGAAATGTTTATGCACAGTTTGTCGATCGTCGGTTTCAAAACAAAACAGTTTACGTACATGCACTTTTTTATGGTGACTTTATGAACAAAATATCACACATTTCAAAAATTATTGGTATACAGTAAACATAAATTTATTAGCGATGCAACATTAGGAAAACAATAAAAAAACGGTCATGAAAAAACTAAACGTGCAAATATTTTTTAACCCATTGCATATATCGGTCGAAGTACTTGTTATGAACTTCAGATAGTTAGAGTGGGAGGAACAACTATTATAACCGTCAGTGTAAATATCTGTCTCTCAAATGAAAAGAACTGTGTGAATCATGCCCACATGTGTATATTCAAAATTCGCCAATTTTAAAAAATTTTGTTTATCTACGAAGCAGAAAGTTCTCCTTATACAAGCAGTAAAATGAATACATCTTTAAGTTCACCATTATATTTCTAACTGTTTTTGATACTGAACCTACAGTAACTGATTGCCCCTGACAACGCTTCTAACTGTAGTTCAAAATTCTCCACGCGCGAACGGCTGACCCAAGAACAACAAATCATTCGCAAGAAGGCAGAAATCCGTAGCTCCACGAATTTTTCCAAGGAGATGCAGTAAAAATAAGAAGCGCAAGCTGACTTCGTTGATACACCGCATGGTCGGAATCGTCGAACGGGAAATCATCGAGTATAAATAGAGGATGACTCGCGGTCTGGTCTCGCTCGGGCATCGTTAGTCAATGATCGTACTCTGGGACATTAAGAAGGTGTCGATACACCGTGGGATAGGTGATTCCCCCGAAACGTGTGTTGAAAATGCACATTTGACGCCGGATATCGGGACTCATCCTCCGGGTATCTATTCTAAAAATAGTCAAGGACGAGGATCTCGTGTTACGCTTAGGCGACTACAAATAAATTTTTTGTGTATCTCGATAAGAAGCCTGGAAACCCTCATAAAATTACGTTGTTCTGTTTATCAGAAGCAAGAACGCTCCCGAACGGCAACGTAAAAATACCCGACGTTTTCCATGTACGTATATTCAACACGGGTTGATAGTTTGTAACCGCCCGTTTAAACACGCTGCTTCACTGTTCGTGCGTGAAATTTTAATTAAACTCCGCGAAGTTGCAACTCATAACAAAAAAGAATATGGTAATCCCCGGATTTATACGTGTACGCAACACGTACGAGCTACGTCAATGTTTACAGAGCACTTTCGAAACCACTCTGTTAAAAACCAGAACCAAAATAACAAAATTTATAAACGTCCCAAATCTGTCAAACTCACTAGAAATATTTTAAAATGTTCATACATGACTTCGTAGTATATGATCCGCTTCCACGAAATAAATTAAAGAAAAAATATTATTTCTATCCGATAAAGCACATAAGTGCTAAAAAAAACTGTTCTTTGTTTTTAAGAAATCTTTTCATATATGTATAATCGTTTCACGTTAACATTACGATTTCCCGCGCGTTCTCGTCCAATTGGCGGAAGCGAAAAGAAGCGTACTACACGGTTTCCGTGAAACTGTTTCCAATTTTGATTATTATCTCTCACCTTGAGCGCATACTTTTCCCTGGTATTCTTGTCATAACATTGAACAACTTTTCCGTTGATTCCGAGACCGAGTACGTGATTGCTGATCTCGTAATCGTCCGTGATCGGCGTGACTTTTGGTAACCGGGCGTCGCATCTTGTGATCGTGTGTTCCATGGTTTTCCGTTTAACGTCCGAAACCGGCACTTCCTTCTCTTTCGTCGGCACTACGATGTCGGTTTCCGCTGTCCGTTTCCGCTTTCCCTTTTTATTCACCTTGGTCTCCTCGTCGGCCGACCTCTTGCACTTTCTAAAATGGTAATTCGACCGTTAGTCATCTTCGTCGCAGATTCACCTGGGCGATACAAGATTGTTGTTGCACGAACAAGAGGAGGAATATTATGCTAAGCAAACTGAACCGCTTCATGGGTAACTCGCAAACGTGCGACGATTTAACTGGCGGCGGTAGAGATAAGGAAAATCTTAGAACGATAGTATATTCCGTGTCGACACCTCTGAACACGGTACACAAGTGACACAGTACGCACAGGTAAAAAAGAAATCATTGGCGAACAAAATTATCGCTCACACGGAACGGCATTTATCTTTGAAATTATTGGAAGCGCACACTCCGCGCGTTTACGTGAATCTTACTTCTTAACTATACACCGAATTAACTCGCGTCGCGTCAACGTGTTGCATATCAATTTTTCTATATATTTTTTATTATCTAAAGATACACTCGTTGTGGGATGTTTTCAAAACAACACTTTGCATCGTTGAATCCCGACATCTGTGTACAATATAAATTCAATGAATAACTTTAATTAAAAGTAAATGGGTTATTTTATATATATATAAATATACATATTATATGTATACATATATATATATATAATTTAAATAATAATATATTTATATATATTTATATATATTATTATTTAAATACATGATGTGAAATTATGACGGTTTAATTCATATTACAGTATTATCCTTTGTAAGAATGTAACATTTGTAAGGAATTATTATATTGAAATTTTATATTATTTTACTTACATCAATTTTTCTTTGATTACATATGAAATCAAATGCTTCAGTTCAATAATATAAAGTTGCGTTACGTGCATACACACATCTATGTACATATATATTCCTGCATATACGCACACCTCTACGTATTACACAACCACTTGCAATCGATTAAAACTGCAGAACATAGTTCAATGCAC